GGGTACAAATGAGGATGAAATCTTTAGCCATAAGTAGGTCAATGCCATTTAAAATTACAAGAAGAAAGATTACAGGAGGAGAGAGCAAGTAAAGAGAAGACCTGATGATGCCCAAGGAAACAGTGTTCTCCACACACCAAAGCAGGGCAACTGGTCACCCTGCTTTTCAATTATTCTCATGTTAAACAACAGCATTCTGCATAGGGGGAAGGGAATCAGTCCTTTGCTCCCTAAACAGGAAGGACAGAAAAATCACATGAAAACAAAATCTTTCTTTTCCTTCCTCTCTGGCCATTTCTTCTAGTTCATGCTGATGTGGACTGCCAAGTTCTGATGACTTGGCCAGCGGACCAGAAAACTCAGTGACCCAGTGGGAATGCCCGAAGCACCAGTGACCTCCTAACACAGAGCTGGGGGACCAAGACCTGTTGAGGATGTGCTCCTGTTCACACTGTGCCCGGCGGAATATAAGTGATTCTGGAGTGCACTTGACAAATGTTTGCTAATTGCCATTTAAAAACTAGATCTTAAACACTCTTATCAAAACGTATACACATAAATGTGCTATAACCCACACCAGGCCTCATTTGATAACAAATGACACTAGAGCTGGCTCTAATTAGCTTAGGTATGGAAGAAATGCATTAGTTAGCATAAATGAGGAAGTCTAAGAGAGCTGGGAGCTCTCTGAGGATAGCCTAACCAAGTGATGACACTCAGATGTGATCTCTCTAGCTTTTGGCCCCATTTGAACTTGGTCTCTGCCATCACAGTCACAGGCAGGTTCCAGCCCCTCCAGCCCTTGCATCTGCTCTGCTTTTCCTTCCCAGTGGCTGAATAAAATCCCTGGGCTTGCCTCTTGCTGAAATGCCTCTGATTCCAAAGGCTCTCTGTCTTATAAAGGTGTCTTTTTGCAACTGCATAAATAGTTAGGTCAGTGACTCTTCAACTCTGCACAGTAGACAGAGTAGAATTGCCTGGGGAATTTGTTAGAATTCTACAACAGTCCACACCATTCCACCCAATTAAATCCTAATATCTGGAGGTGGACCCAGGCATTATTATCTTTTTAAGCTCCCCAGGTGATTTCAATGCAGAGCAAAATTTAGAAACTCCTGAATAAAAAATACGAAATGTTAGTCTCCTTCAAATTTACTGAGAAAGTCAAGTTAGGTTAATTTCCTTAATGTCTACCTGAGGATCTTTGTCTCTAACATAGGAGTGTTCCTCTTGCTTGCCTCAGCTGGCTTCATCAGCATCCTGGTTTTCCCCCACCCCCACCCTGATGTATTGTGTTCAAAGAATTATCCCTCCTCTAGTATGCATCTTGAAATTTTGCTTCTTAACTGGCTCCTTCCCCAAATAGATCCCTTACTCCCTGTGGCCCTGCCTTCCATCCCCCTAACCACCCACCCAGGGCATGGTCCATCTATAGTCTCCTCTTCATTGTCAGCTTTCCTGGGAGAGTGGATTGTCCTCACTTGGCCTAAAGTATGCCTAAAGTTCTTACAATCTGACTCTGGAAATGACTACTCTGCTGACACTGTTCTCTCAAAGGTTGTCAATAACCCTCTTACAAAACCAAATGACTGTTTCTCTCCTCTCTTTCTCTCTCATTCTCACATTGCTTTTGGAGATTAGGGTATCCAAACACTGCATCTCTCACTGATTTCCTCTTTGCCACCTTGGTTGCTTAAAAAAGTCCTGAATAAAATGTTTGGGATATGTATCCAAAACACATTTCTTGGGAAATATGTATCAGGAGGCTTGAAAATGAAAATACATATACAGCACGTTTTCAACTCTTATAAAAAGCACATGGATCTAATGCCCCTAGGGATTCTATTATCCCTGGCTCCTTGTACTCCAGCTCTTTCTGCTTCCTAGCTGTCATAAATTGAGCAGCACTCCTTCACCATGACCTTCTGTTGCACCCTGGGCCCAGAGCTAAGGCGTTGGCTGATCATGGATTGAACTTCTGAAATCATGAACCAAAATAAACTTTTGGTCCTCTAAGTTGTTCTTGTCAGGTCTTTTGGTCACAGCAATGCAAAACCTGACTAATATATTGGCTGAGACTTCTGAGATAATTTTGTTGTACTGCCTTTTGTAAAGGCAAGATCAAAGTTTCTCTTTGCAATTTGAAAAGTAACATTCTTTAAGAAGCTACATATAATAAACATTAGGGTAAGACGTTTTTCTTATAGATATATGTGATGTTGAAACCATTTTAATAGTGTAATTACAAAAACTTTAGCCAATATTATTTTCTGTTGATTTAATAAAGTGTAGAATATTAATTTCAAGTTTGACATATAATTCTCATAAATATGGCAAAGTACTGCTAAGAGATTAAATAAAAATGAGAAAAAGAAAAAAGAAAGAATCCAAACATTGACTGTTTTCCTTCTATTTCTAGAAAATTACAGAATGCCATTTTTTTTCAGAAGAAAGCATTCTTTCTTTCAAATGGTGTGAAATTAACAAAACATATTTGTCAAAAACAAAGTGAATTTGCTAAGATAAAAGCTTCAAAAAGATCAACTGCCATTGAAAGTTGAAATCATTTTGTTAAAGTTAATATATGCATAAAGCCATGAAAAACAGTTTTCCCATGTGATTTTTAATTTCCAGATGAAGAAACTGAGATTCAGAGAGTAGGATCAGTAGGTTTTTCTTTTGTTTGGTTTTGCACACATGTAAAAATTCACACATCTCATTTCCAACTCTACTCTGTCCCCTTATCATCATGAGGAATGCTGAGGGTTTTGGAAAACACTACCTTGGCTGATTTCTCTTTAGTAGTCTACCTGGTAGGTCGATGGTTTCCCTTTCCTTCTCATGTAGAAAAAGTGGTGGCAAAAATGAAATGTTGAGTCTTAGCTCCACCTCTCTTCTAATCTCACAATCTTAGAAATGCCCCACTTATCTGAACTTTTGCTTTGTTCATCTGTGTTATGGAGATATTACCAATAGTATTGCTGTGAGAATTAAAGGAACTAGTACATGTAAAGTATTTAGAGTAGTTCCTGACACATAATAAGTGCTCAATAAATGTGAGCTATCATTATTTTTTATATCTCCTCCTACATATTTTCTTGAAGTATACAAGTGAATAAATTAGAATACCTATCCTAAATTAACCTTCCTTCTTCTCATAATGAATCAGCTTTCTCTTCATGGTCATTCACAATCGTACCAGGAGGGAGTGAACTTGCTTTTCTTCCTATGAGGTTATATAAGGTATTGCCAAATATTTCCTCAGAAGGAGGGGCACCTCCTGGAAGAAGGAAATACATCTCTACCATGCAATTCCCATTCAGAAAACAGAGGAGAAATAAACATGCCACTATGATTAGCCTAATCAGTTTTAGAAAGGAAAAGCTTCAGGCCACCAGAGAGTAAAGTGATCCAGGCCACAGTTCAATCTAAACCCCCTCAAAGCCCTGGTCTAGAAGCATAGCAAGAAATTCATCATGCACAGCCAATACTGTCCCCAGCACTTGTGTGAGAACAGCACCCCCCAACCCCTTGCAGAATTCTTTTATTCAAGTGGAGTCTCTCTATTTGTGAGAGAAATATGCCCCATGACCTAGCAATAGATCACAGTTCAACAAAATAAGACAACCTTATTTTGTGAAGCATTTTTAAAGTGCATGTTATTTTTAAAAGTTTGTAGGCTGGAATGATAAATCAGTTCAATAAACTAGCTTTGATGGTCTGAAATTAAGGGTAGAGTAAAGGAGAAAGGATATGTTTTCAGGTGAGATTTGAAAAGGGATGGAAAGTTAATGAGGTGGAGAGATACAGTCAAGCTGTTCCAGATGGCAGGATCTGACAGAGGAGGCCAGTAAGGGTTAGCAGAAAGGATGAGGATGGGGAGACAGGAGAAATGAGATCCAGCAGAGAGACAGCATTCTCCACCCAGATGATAATCAATTCCAAATCATATCACAGAGCGGATGAGGAGCCATTAGAGGAGAGTGCTGAAGGAGCTCTGAGACTAGACACAGACAGATGGGAAAGGGCAGGGGGACTTGAGCAGAAAATTTAAGGCTATCAAAAAGGGAGCAATCATGTTCAAAACATTGACACTGAACTCAAATGACTGATGCAGAGTTGCTTGGATTAAAATATTTTGCAGACAGGAAGAGAGAGGAAATATTTTTTTCCTCTTCCATTGACTAAGTACATAAATAAATGTATTGCTGTTTTAATTGAGATTACATATAGAAAGTGAATTTCTGAGCAGCAGAACTTTTAAACATTGGATGAGTGTCAAAGAATCTCAGAGTTTAAGGGAACTCAGAGGTCACTGGAATAATCCTTTGAAAGATAACCAGACACACTGTGAGACTCTTCTTGTTGGAGAGAATTAAGAATAAGGTTGCTGGCAGGCTAAGATGGTTGACTTTGTTTCTTCTACAGACAAGTCCTATATTAATGTTTTGTCTTCCTTTTCAAGTGTGATGATGATTCCATGTGGGGTAAGTGTAAGAATGTGGGTGTGACCTCAACACACAGATTTTTGATTTTGCTCAGTGCCACTGGATAAAGCAACACCTCTGTATGCCCAGGCACGGAAATAAAGAAAGGATGTTGAGGCTGGGAGCAGAAACTAGGGGAAAGAAAGAGGGATTGGGAAAGAAAGTCGAATACACAGCAGGAAGCAGCTGGATGCAGCCACAGACATCTCACTCAGATGCCCCACTGGGATGAAGGTCAGCAGGACTGCAGGAGAAAGTCAATGGGAAAGAGGTGGGATAGTTAATTCTATTCCAGGCCATGTAGTTATCTGGGGACAGAGAGGAAGTTGAAAATGATACATAAGCTAGCTGTAAGGAAAATTTTTGATATCTATGCTAAAGCAAAAGCAGAGATTTGGGACTTGAGTTTCGAAGCCAGTAGGGAGAAGGTAGGTACATGGGTGGCATTAATAAATAAAAGGTGACCAGAGCCATGCTCCCTGTGGAATGTCAGTAAATATTAATTGGCTGACGTTGACCTTGGTAGAACAAAGCATGTGAATGGGAAATGCCATGGCCAGCAGAGCATAAAAAGTTCATATCTCTGAACTGAAAACATAGTGCCTGAGAGAGAGCCAGACCAGACAGCACACCAGAAAAGGATTCCTTGCATACAAGGCCAACGTATCTCAAGGAAAAGTAATGACACAATCATTCCAAGAGAGCAGGAACAAAGCCTGCAGGAGCCATGATGGAATATTCCTTTCTCTGAGAGCATAATCACTTCTCCTGAGGTACAGAAGCCCCTGGCTGAGAATGCAGGGCTCTCTGAGGTCAGCAGGTGTGCAGGTAAGCACCAAGAACCCTGGCTTGACTTGTTCAAGAAAATCTTTTTTGTCAGACGTGGCTGGAAAGCTGAGAAAATGTTATTTTGGGATTTGGCTCCAAGGTGAAGGAATCAGTAGACAAGGTGAGGTCCAATTCTGGAGGGAGTGGAGTGGAGAGGGTGCTGGAGGAAGACGGCATCTCCTGTCTGTTTTTTTTTTTTTAAGAGAGAGAGAGAGAGAGAATTTTTTAGTATTTAGTTTTTAGTTTTCGGCGGACACAGCATCTTTGTTTGTATGTGGTGCTGAGGATCGAACCCGGGCCGTACTCATGCCAGGCGAGCGCGCTACCGCTTGAGCCACATCCCCAGCCCTCTCCTGTCTGTTTTTAAGTATGGGGTATAAAAGAATACTTTGGAGAGTGGTTGGTCTTTCAGTGACTCAATGTTCCTGTCATAATTATTCTTCCTGTCCTCCATTGGTGGGGGACTGAAAAGGCAAAACAACTCAATCTGATGCTTGAAACCTTAATAAGAAAAAGATTCAAGTCCCAAGTCTGAGAAATGCTAAAAGTTCACCTGAAATATGTTCTGCATAATACTATAGGACATGCAATCCATGCAGGGCCATCCAAAGATTTGTCTAGAAAATACAGATTTTATCCACCTCTTAAAATTTCACTTCAAATAAAGAAGAAATTATTGTTCAACAATATATTGATAAAAATGCTTGATAGACCTATTAAATGCCCCCACCTAGGATTCTAGAAGAAACATATCAGTGCCTGGCACATAATGGGTATTGAATAGGTATTTGTTACATGGATAACAGAGAAATATAGGAAGAGTGTAAAAAAAAAACAAGTAAAATATCAAGAATGTGGGTATTTGTAAGAAAATATTTCCCTTTGATTGCATCCTTTCCTTCTTAAGAGAATTCAAAAAGATATTATAATTGCCATACTGCTTCTCCTTATGGGTGACCACAACCATGAATATAGCAAGGCAGTTTTGAAGACATGAAGCCAATTTTTTTTTAACCCTCTATGATCTAGGTAAGGTTTAGCCACAAGGGTTCTATTAAAACTCTTGAACCACTCCCCATGAACTCCCAGAAAATTCAAATTCCTACTACTTTAATCTAGACATATATTCAATTTATTTTAACAGTTTCTAAGTGCCTCGTCTGTGAAGGGCACTGTGCTAAATATCTGAGAGTGAGAATGAGGTGCAGCCCTCAATGATGGGTAGGGAGAATGGGGCAGGAAAGAAAGAAACTTCTTCTAAGTTCATATCATCCCCACCCCAAAACACGGAAGAAGGGAAATTTAAGATTATAATGATAAGCATTTCTTGATTGTATTTACTATAGTGTTAAGAACCCACCATAATGGTAGGAGTGGGATTCTGGAACTCCATGAAGGCACTTTGAAACAACAGGTAGCTGGAAGTAACAACAGGTGGACTGGAACTTTGACAAGACTGTACTTGGAATGGCAAGGTAACACATTACATTACTCTGGCATGTTATTGAAAAATTCTGAACATTAGTCAGATACAAAGAGGAACGCAATTATGGCAAATTGATACCAGATGGATTTTAAATTAATTGTGAATTGGAAATCTTAAGCTAAATACCAAATTTTGGAAAGAATTGTGAAGTAGCAACTATAAAGAAATTATGAATACTTTCTTCCCTTTTCTAGATGTTTAGTAACTAGGTAAGTAAACAATTAAATCTTCTTTGGATGCAGCAGATCAATGCTTCTGTAAGACTCGGGAAACTGTAAAAACTTAAAAATATTTATATGAACTAAAAATTGTTGGGTTCACTCTCTTCCTAGTAAGACTTATAAAAGATTACGGAGGCTGAGGCAGGAAAATTGCAAGTTCAAAGCCAGCCTCAGCAATTTAGCAAGGCCCTGAGCAACTTAGACCCTGTCTCAAAGTTTAAAAAAATAACAATAAGAAAGGGCTGGGATGTGGCTCAGTGATTAAGTGACCCTAGGTTCAATCCCTGTTACAGAAAAAATAAAAAGAAAAGAATTTAAAATGCACAAGAATAGAAAATATCATTTCATAATTATAAAGTAAGAAGACCATCAATTCAACATCAAGATAAACAGATGCTAAAATGAGCTAAGAACTTTTTAGAATCAGAGATCTGTCTTCAAAACTCTTAGGATAGTTTATTGATTATGAATAATAAAAATAAATTGTATATTTGTATCAATTGCATAGAATACAGTCAATACAGAATTTATAGCCCCATGCTAAGAGCCTAATTTAAAATGAACAGTCTTTCCTACATTTTCTCCAAAGTACCTTTGAAAGAACTCACTCTGCCATCCACAGAACTTGCAAATGCATTCCGTAAGTTGGGCTATAGTATTTATTCTCTTTCCTGTTATTGACTCCAGATCTATTTCTTACTATTTGCTTTGTGCTCCTTCTTCTGCCAAATAAAATATTAATTGCATTTTTAGCTGCACTGCTGGTGCTCAAAGAACTTGGATATGTCAAGCTAAACTGATAGAAATAGCATCCATTAACATATTTATAGGTTCAGAGCTTCTAGAGCATAATTACATCCATTAATTACTTGACAGTACTCTGTTACAGCCTAGAAGAGAAAGGCTTTTGCAGCTATACTTTTACTCAAAGTGAAGTTTCTTTTTCAATAATAAATTTTATCTAAAGAAGATTCTAAGGGAAATAAGGCAAGGGAACTTGCATAGTTCTATGTGCATAGGAAAGGGCTTTTAAAGCAGCCATCCACGAACTTTGCAATAGATAGCAAACAAAGTCAATGAGATGGCACAGCTAGACTTGATTTCAAAGAAAAGCATATTTTATACATTATGGAGAGATTTAATTAATATTTTAGAGTTCTAAGAGAGACCATCTCAAGCCAATGATTCTTGATGTTAAGATGCAGAGCAATGATTTTTTACTTTCAAATAAACTTCCTTAAATGTCACACAGGACCAAAACATTTTTGAATTACCTTCATTTTTGAACATGTAATTCTAACACAGAAAAAAAATTAAAGCTGTCCTAGGAAAAAGCTCATGAGATGTTGAAAATTAATAGAAGAAACAATTATTCTGTAAATTCGCCAGCTGTGTGAGTCCTGGAGCTGCCAGCTGCATTTAATACATGCATCATAGCAAGGACAGTAACACACACTTGACTCCTCTTGACCAGTTAATCAGCATGCAAAAATGACGTTTTTCTCATAATAACTTCAGCACTGGACCCAAACACAATTTTCTCTTCAGCAAGGAATGAAATCATAACACACACACACACACACACACACACAGTTTCCTCATTTCAGCATGAACCTAGCCAGGATGTATGGACAGAAAGCAAAGCCGTGCCTACCTGTATATATCCATCTATACATATTTCTCTGAGTTCTTTGTTGCCTGGAAATAAATTGTAAAAGCAAGCATATTTGAAAGTAAAAACCATTAAACTGTGTTTATAGGCTACTGCAACAGACTCGTGGACTGAATGAGAAGGAAAGCACCATACCTTTAGTAAGTCGCCTCAGAATTTGACAACGGCATTTAAAAGAGACAGCTATCATTCTTGCTCGCTGCTTTCTCTGGCAAAGTGTACTCAGGGCTCTGCTCTGGTGGCTGCGGCGGCAGCAGCATATGAATTCTTTGCGCACATACCAGGAGAAAGGTAGTCCCAGTGGGGAGTGACAAAGCTTAATTCCTCTTGGCTGATGCAGAGGTCCGCTACATGTCATCTGGCAAAGCTGTGTCATTCACTACTACTACCACCCCTGCCCGCCAGCCTCCTCCCCCTGCACAATCACAATGGCTTAGAAAGTAAGGCTGTTTCGATAGCAACAAAGCACCAAATTGTGTAAAGCAGGGACACGGCTGGGTGAGGAGCCACTCCATAAATCTCACACTAAGCACTGTTTCAGCCACGGGGCTATGGACTCCAGCCAATTTGGCCACCACCACCCCCTTTCTTCTCAGCATTAAGTTAGTATCCTTTATGGATCTCATTTAATAGGATATGCAAGTGGAATGCTTGCACTTTTACTTTAGGAAGAAACACAAGCATCATGTACTATGTTATTTAAACAACAACAACAACAACAACAAAAGGAAGGCAAAGGAGGGAGGGAGGCAGTTTATCTTTGGGATTCAAAAGGCAACCACATTTTTTGCTTATAGAGGAGAAGCAGCCCTTTGATAATCAGGAAGATCTATTCGTCACTTTACAAACCTATAGGGGTCAGGGCAGTGTAGGTTTACAGATGGAATGCAAGACTCGCAAAGGGAAGGTTCAGGCTGGGTGGATCAGCAGGCAGATGGAGCCCCAGCCCCTTTAATCACCCTTCCCCAAAAAGGAGTTGGCTGGAAAGCAACAGTCAAGACTGTTTCTAAAGATACCACGCATAAAAGCAAACAAGGCCAAGTATTTCTATTTTTAATGTACCTTATTATCGTATTTCCCAAACAGCCCTCCCCCAAACCATCCTTCTGATTATGCTAATAAAATGGTCTTGCTGCATAGCAGATATTCCTGAGTATCTGCTCCAGTGGAGTGAAGAGCAAATTAACAAACCCTTCACAATCCATTCACAAAGTGACAAGAAGGCGGAGTGCATTTCTTCATCTGCCAGCTCCAGCCTACTCATGATGTAGTCAATACAAACTGACATTTGCTATGGAATTTTAATCAAAATCTAGAAATCTCCCAGAGGAGTTAACACAAACATTCTGGGTGGAAAAAAAAAAATCAGACACTTGGCCAGGAACTTAAAACACAAATCAGTCAATTAGTCAAAATGAAAAGATAGATCACTGTCTAAACTATTTGATTAATATTTCTAGGACTGTATGAATTATTCATACAGTTTTATTCTCTCCTCTTCAGGCTATAAAAAAACCTTTTAAGCAGGGGATTCTAAAATAGCTTCCAATATTCCAAATTTAGTAATAGAGCTTTCTCCTCTCCATTCATAAATTCAATATTAACTTGAATAATTTCAATCCACTGATTCTGAAATGTAGATGCTTTCTATTTTGAGCCCAATAGGAAAAAATATTTTTATGTGAAAAATAGCGGAATATAATAAGCATCTACTTCAAAGGTGTTTTGTAAAGAACACAATTCCCTTACCAAGTATAGTCTATTTGAAACAATCAGCCACCACTAAAAAGACAGTACAAAATGGGTAGCTATGCACACCAAATTTTTATAATAACTTCCACTAATGTGAATTTTAAAAAAATTTCAATTGATTTAATTTCCATATCTTTTAGGCCAGCCCGAGAAATATTATATATATGCACACACATTCCTGTATATGTATAATATTTTTAATATATTTTTGCTCTAAATAACAATATAACTCAGTGCTAGAGAATTGAGTTATTCACGAAAGTGAGATAAATATTTATAGTTAGATCTTTTTAAGATTCTTCTCCAAATCTACCACCTTTCCTAAAATCCAGACACTTGGAATGTGCAGCTGTCAAATAGTATTAGTAAAATCTTGCCCATGGAACATCACCACTCTGGTCCATTTTTATTAATGTCTATTCAAATAAAACTCAAAATCATACAGCAAAATCTTGCCCCTCTGCTATTATGCAGACTCAGATCTAATTTGCTTCTTCCTCAAGGCTAAAATGATCAAATATTTCCCCCTTTTACTAGCACATCCATTTTTTTTTTTAAACTCTGTCCCCTGGTCCCAGGAAAGATCTTAGAACTATTAAAATGTCCTATTTTTCTGTAAGAGAAATAATCCATCCTAAAGTGCTTTGAAAGTTTCCTGAGGGTCCAAACTAAGGAATTTTTCCCCTCCTTTGGATGTGGTGAAGCCAGTCCCTATACATTCTATTATCTAGCTCAGGCTGGGCTCTAGAGAAAATCCTCCTGAAAGAACCCCTTTTCAGGAACTAAAAGAATCTTTCAGCTTTCCCACCTCTTTCCATTTTGACCTCCTTTGTGCTCAGAGATTTCCCTGGGAGCCATTCCCAGGTCAGCCTTCTTGTCCTAAACTCTTTGTTTTCTGCCTAATATAAGCTTTGCCTCAGAAAGTAAGGTTCTTCTTATCTCACAATACTGACCTGTGGCCAAAAGTCTCAAGTGGCCAAGGCAGCTGGTGGAACTATACCTTAGTCTCCTAACATGAGCCCCTTCTGGACAGAGTGACCTACATTTCTGGCTACTTGATTAATATGAGCACATGTCTTTGGACCCTGTATTCAACTCATGTCAATTATGTTGACTCAGCTTTCTAGATAGCTCAAACTAACAACATGTCCTTTGGGGATCTTCAAACAGGGGCTAGGGAAATGTAAATCAGGTAAAATATACACGCGCGCGCGCACACACACACACACACACACACACACACTTAAGTTTCAACCTAACCTTGAAGAAGAGTGAGTGAGCTAATTCAAGAGGTTTTCCGTTGTTTAAAAACAAACAAAAACCCTTAATATATGAGGACATGGA